TAGGTAATATATGACTTTATTCTATTGTATTCTCTAAACTTCCGTTGCAACTCTCAAAAATTAAAATGAAGAAAGTTTTAACAAAAACTGATAACTTATTTTAAGAAGTTCTTTCTTTCAACAACAGTAACGAAAGATTGAACAAACAAAATATCTCCGATTAAAATTTGTGTCCGATTGAAAGTACAAGTACAAATAAGGAAACCAAATTTTAAGACACTATTATTCAGGCTTGCATAATTTTCAGGTGATTACTGATTAAATTTATTATAAATTTTATGTACTTTCTATTTTGTTCTGTAAAAATATTAAGAAAGTGAATTTTTAAATTATTTGAATTATTTCTGGGAATGATTTTCCCATGGTCATAACGTAACTTAAAATAATAATTTTGAAATATTCTTACATATCCACCGAAACGTGTTATTGTAGTACAAAAGCTAATAATTATAATGAACAAAATTTTCAGCTTCTTAGATGCCACTTTGATCACTTTGCCTCAAATTTTGAACATCTATCTTTGGCACAGTATGTTAATTAAGCAAAAATAGATTATATCTATGAGTAGAAAGAAGTAGCACAAAAGACAGAAAGAATGTACACACTTTTGATTGCCGCCACAATACTTCAGTACATAATCGTATTGATTACATATAATCAGAAACTTTAGAAGCATGTATTCTTTTTTGTCACCTAAATTATAAAGGAGTATACTTACAAACAAGTCCGTTGTAGAACTGTTTTTAATCGCTTAAATGTACTAAGTTTTGTCACAGAAGAAAAGAAATGAGAAAAGAGAAAACATTTGAAACAAATATTCGGAAATTGTTCGCTAAACAAAACGATTATATGTATAACATCATATGTAACATATTTAATATTTATATGTACATAGATGCATATATGCATAGATAAATGTATCTATGTACATATACATACTGTTAATGAAAGTATATTACGACAATATTGTTTCGACAATGGTATCCAGTTCGATTCAATATTAATTTAACCATAATTAAATCACGCATGCGAGGACATTTGTTCTGGCACTCACACATTGTCTTTTCACTAAGAGAAAACGAATGCTTCACTTCACACTTTATGATAACACTTTTGTACACAGAGAAGTGCGTATCTATTTTTCAATGAACAAGATATAACAGTTCCACAATTAACAAAAGAGTGGCAAAAGAAACAGATCAGTCCCAACTGGCATCGCTCTCAGCCTCTTCGCCTTCATCTTCTTCTTCCGAAAATATGGTGTCATATACATAATCTGGATCGTGTAGGAACTCATCATGATTTCTTTTGTTTAGACCCATTCTACGCTTCTTTGTTGCCACTGCAAGTTCATCTTCTGCTGTTCTTTCTTTACGAAACTCGTAGACTAGTGGATAGATGTATTCGATCGCTGCCTGAACAGCGGCAACATTAGGAGCTGTAACAACAATTGTAATATATTCGGTAATAGGAAATGATCAAATTTAGAAATGGATACGAAAAGTATATTATTAAATAGAATCAAACTTGATGTCTTTTACTTTTTGAATATCGTTGACATAAATTTGAAATAAGTACTAATACAAACCAGTTACAGTAACACTGCCTGTAGAAAATATTTTTAGGGTAGCTTTTGGTTCTTTTAACTTGTATGTGACACCAGGATGCAATTCTGGTTCATAGCTGCGCATGATAAAAATTGTTAATAGATATTTATAAACGAATTATAATATTATAAGTAACTATAGACTTTCTTTTGCGATATTGACATATAAATTAAGTACACTTACTCTGCATTTTCCTTGTGATATAATGAAAATGATGTTATCTTGATTGCAAATGGCATACAACATGTACCTAACACATTAACCACCCTGTAATTGTTAAATCGCACTTTGAATCCAAGTTTCTGCAGCGAACGAGCAAATCTTCTTGCTGCTATCTTCGCTTGAACTTCACTGGTTGCACCAGTGCACGTTACTTTACCAGAAGACCATATAGAAGCAGTAGTATAAGGTCTCCTTAATTTCATTGTTATCATCTATAACAGTGCATACATATGCAAAAAATAACTGCTACTGAATATTACAGAAATAAACACAAATTAATAAATATATATTGTTTTATCACAATTTATGAACAATATTCTTCTTGCTTTTTAGTTATTCTACGATTTGAGATATTTAATTGCAAACGAACGTTATTACTCAATGGAGTAAGCACAATATTTGAATTACTATACAACATTAAAGAGTTTCATGATTTAATAATGAAAACAAACTCAAGGGCAACCGATTTTATTCATTTAAAAAAAGTCACAATCTTTTCATTAATTATAAAAAATGAAGAATATGTTATACAAAAAATATAGTAATGTATAAAAGAATGTTTAATAAAAGTTACTTTTAGCTTTACTTATCGATTCCAATGAAGAGCTGTTTTTCAACTACTTCATTACATATCATCTTTTATATGAAAACTTATATTGCTAAAATCCATATACATAATTGTCACCATTAAATTACTAAACATATTACATAAATTCTTTGTTACAGGGAAGCAAGATTACTTTGAAACATACCCCATTTTCCCTTCTATACTCCACATTAGATCCATTAAGCGCAATTTCTCGTAAATTTAAATGACACCTAACACTGAAGCTGCAAACTACGTTATTAATAACAATATCCAGTTCGCGAGGTTCTTGTTCAGGAGGATCCATGTAAGGTTGGATTTGCCCATCAAACAGTCTTTCATCTTTCTCTTCTTTACATATGCCTGTATTATCTAAATTATTTACACCTTCTACATGATTTATTGTGTTTGTTAAAGGTTTCATGCCATTCTTTTGAATAGCAGTTGCCATAATATATACCTGAAAACATAAAAGTG